TATTCTACAGTTACACAAAATACCCAACAAATGGGCGAGTATCAACGATCGTTGTTTGGGCCTCAGTTGGACAGAAACTTCTTGCATTCAGAGGAAAACGAAGCTGTCCTTGATGATTACAGGAAAATAATAGCCACCCTTGAAGAACAATTAAGGCATCAACAATAACCACGGAATTGTCTCCGCCTCCGTCAAAACTAGCAATTTTCGGTGAGTATTCGCGCCCCATGCGAAATTATGCATTTCGCTGGCAATCCCTTGAAATACTGGCTCTTTCTGAGAAGCTTTGAAAGTGGTATAGCTAGCAAGTTGAGGGACGACGATGGCCGACTTTCCTACCTGATCCACTACTGTAGAGATGAGGCCAGAGACGCCATTGAAAGCTGTACAATCCTAGACCCTAGCGAGGGGTATTCGTTGGCTCTTAAGATCCTCAAACGCCGGTTCGGGCAACCTCACTTAATCGCTAGGGCTCACATAGACAATTTGATCCATGGTCCAGTTTTAAGATCTATGGATCCAACCGTCTTGATGAAACTTGTCAGCGATATGCGAAAGTGTAAAAATACGTTGCAGCAGTTGGATTACGTAGCCGACTTAAACTCATCTAGGACGCTGGCCGCCAGCATCAGACGACTCCCTCCACAGTTACAATTCAAATGGTCAGAGCTCGCGTCATCAACTCTGCGTCGTGGTAGAGAACCAACGTTCTCTTATCTAACTGATTTGATAGACGAGAGGGCCGACGTATCGATGGTGCACCAGTCATACTCTTCTAGTTCTGTTTCCTCATACAATCGTCCCCAGGGCGACCGAGCACCGGTCCATAGGGCCTATGCGCGCCACACACAAGCTATTGGAGATAGAACTCCAATACAGCGTCGATCATGCCTGCAATGTGACGTAGCACACTACACCGACCAATGTGGCACGTTCATATCTCTCAGCTTGCCGCAAAGACTAGCGTTCAGGTTCAGGTTCAGGTTTTTATTGAGGGAAATATAGGTAAATACCTTT